AACAATCAAAAATATCGAATTGATCCCGCTCATCTTGACAAAATAAAGTATAGGAAACATGGACACAAATCGAAGACAAAGTATGGAAGATGAGTCTTAATAAAACTTTAAAAGATTTATCGCTATCTATTTTAACCTTATCGAAGGTTGGAAACAAAAGTCCCTCTTTATCATATTTCTGAATACATTTTTTGATATATTTTCTTCTCAATTCATTTATATAAGGTATAGCAGCCGCTGGAATTTCAAATCCTTCATATATTTTTTAGTTATTTTTGACAGTGTTGACCCTGTTAAATAGTTTTCTGTGATAGTTTCCGCCGCTGCATTTTCAAGTACTCATGTCTCGAATTTCTTTGCTGCTTTTATATGAAGAATAATATTTACAAATTCCAAGGAAACTGAAAAAATAATAAATAAAACGGTAGTGAGTTGTTGAAGTGCCTTCAAAGAGAACTTGAATTCTTAATATTGCGAGTAGTGGAAGTGTTCATACTTAGGCTTATTTAGGTTGGTTCTTTTTTTGCAATGTTGAAATAATTCTTGATTGAAAATTACATAATTCAGGGATTCTCGCGACGAGTCCAGGTGCCGAATTGCATGAGAGGTAATATTTGTTTTTATCTATAAAGTTGAAATAGTTCTTGATGGAAATGTATATAATTTAGGGTGATAATAATTCCCGATGCTGAGGGGAGGTAGAGATTATACTTGGGATTATAAATGTTGGTTCTTTTTTGCAAAGTTGAAATATTTCTTGATTGAAAGGCACATAATTTAGGATGAGGAAATCTCGCGTTGAGATCAGATGCCGAAGGGATTAATAGATCATACTTAGGCTTATCTATGTTCGTTATTTTATGTGACACTGGATGAATGTCTCTTGGATAAAAAGTGCGAAATGCAATGGGACTAGATGCTGCCGAAAAGGAGAGTTCATACGTAGGCTTGGCTATGCCGGTCCTTTTTTCTATCGTCTGAGTAAAAACATTAGGTTGATTTGTTCATAATGCAAGGTGAGTGTTAGAAAACCTCGTAATAAAACCGGTTAAAGATGACATTTATGAAGAAACCAAAAACGCCTTTTCAGATTATCGAATTACTTATATTATAATTTTTTCGCAAATTTTTATTTAATATATTTTATTATTGTATTATAGTTTCGTTTAGGCCAAGCTTTCTGAATTATTTTAAGAAAATTATATTATTGTTTCGATTCTGATATAAATCAAATTTTTAATGATCACCGAAACGATTGTTAGCAGCAATTAGTTATTCATTGATAATAATGGAATTCAATAAGATATCATCAGCCTCTTCTATTATGAAATTGGTAAAATAATTTGCATAACTTGGCTGTAACCTCAATTCAATCATTTATTTCTATTATTTAGGTCTTCGTCAAAAATTGATATGCTGCTACTTTGTCCGGAAATTGAATATCAATTATTGAACTTTATTCCAGTTAAAATACTGTTTTCTTTTCAATTTTTCAATTTTAGAGATAAAACACCCTTCAAACAAAAACCTTCATTTATTTGCCATTTTAAAAAATGTTGATCATTTTGCACTTGGATTTGAATGCTTTAAGCCGTTCTCAAGCACCTCCCTCAATGTGATTGGATAGTGATGGCATTATGTTCAAGTACTACAATCAATATAGAATTACAGGAAACAAAATAGTTATAAGAATTCAAAATTACATAAAAAGGAATAGGAACACTTGAGCATAATCTATCATTGAAGAAAAAAGGAGGTTTACAGCTCATTGGTTTTTCATCGAAATGGTAGCTCAATGAATTTTTTCGGCCAATCAAATTGCTTATTAATCTATCAATTGAGGCGCTCGAGAACGGCCTTAAACAAATATTTTAATGAGAAAAAAAAAACGATATTATATAAAAATTATTGCACAAATAAATTGATAAAAGAAAAATATGCTGTTTCCAAGAACTGAACATAGGGATGAAGGCGGCTTTCGCGATGCGTGCTTGGTTTAAAAAGGGTCCACCAGCGTACTGGTAAAAAAACAAGGTCCATGAGCGACTGAGAAGGAGGGCAATCGTCGTAACAAGAACTTAATACGCCTTCGGCGATAACTGAGCCTGCCCTAGTGTAAAAACTAATATATTCATCGTGCCATTCCTAGAATTAAAAATAATGAGAACGTTATCTATCGGAACTTTTCAGAAAAATAAAATAGTTTGAAAATCGTGAAAATCATGTCTTGATCTAACTCTCATTCGTTATATCATCCACAATGACCGGAACAAGTTTATTATTACCATCAGATACTAAAATCTTGGTTTTTCATGGATGTAAATCTTTGGTAAACATGATGGATAAATTTTCAATGAAGACATAATTAGTGGTTGTGAGCCGTAATTGATCTAAAAGCGAATAATTAACAGTTATTTTAGAGCGTTTAAAAATTTCGGTTCGCCAAAAATTATAATAAAATCCGGGCCGGGCCGGGCTTCAAAATTTTGACTTATGCAGGTCTCTACTTTATATAGTTTTTTTTTAAGTATCAGTCTTATTGGGCTTATCATTTAAGCTATTGTATATATACAATGAATATAATTCTTTCCACGGACGATAATTCTGGTCTATATATATACCCAAAAAATCACCAGTGGATGACACTAACGTTCCAGGTTTACCAAGTTTCAACGAAACAACAATTATACATTAATACTTATGCATATTCTGTTGTACTTATTTATACCAAAATAAATCAAAAATAATTCCATTTGAAGATATTGAAGATATGTTTGATTTCCCAAGTCATCGAAAAATTATTCAAAAGCGTTGGCCAAGTGCCAATAATTCTTCAATTTTCTACGTTCAGATCTGGTGAACTAACTCATCATGAATTTAAAAATTTTGGAGCATAGTATTTAATTGGTTTGATTTGATCTACTTTTAATCGCAATGCCTGTAGTAATGACAAAAATGCACAGCTTTGGAAGCGATGAAGCAGAAGAATCTTAATTAATTGTGAGAATATCTTATTCAACATTAATAATATGTAATTAGTATTCTATTTAGTTTTATATTTCCAGTTGATACCAAGTAATACTAAATTTGAGAATTAAAAAAAATCTTATATGAGTATCAATTATTAATAATTTTTTTAAATCCTGTTTTACATTTATTGCGATATACATCTGCAAAAAAATTTATCTTTTCATATTTTTTTCATTGTAATCGCACATACGATGTAAGACCGTTTCTTAAGCCTAATTTTTTTATAACTGTTATGTTTTAAAATAGATACATAACACAAAAAATTTTTTATAAGTTTTGATGATAATCATACAAATAATTTACTAAAAGTGGAGACGCTACAAATTTATCCATTTTGGATCAAAATAATAATCCATTTACTTCATTTTCTACTACATGAATCTCTTCATACTTTTGGACTAGTGGTAATTGGATTCAAAGGGATCTGTTTAAATCTTGGTATGTTGAAATATTTACTACAATTGCTAGCATTTCGATTGTACTAGTTTTGCAGTATATGTGAGGTATGGTTTAATAATTAACTTTCATGCGTTCTCAGTTGTAATTCTATTTAGGTTTCTTTTTAACCTTTTTTGATTTCTTTTAGTAATTTTATGAAAGTGCGGCGGCTAAAAGTAAGCAAGCCGTATTAAAATAAACATAAAGCAATTCAAGTATCAGTTTATGAGGATTTACAGCATCGCTTTGATTTTTGGTATCCACTTCCAGAATTTGTTCCTTCTAAAAAACGTGTTAAAAGTTTTAAAAATGTCATTCATCAAGATAAATATATATCAGAGTTTTGCTAAGGATCTAGAATATGATCAGATCAATATTCAATTTGGCATTCTTTTTGTAATACGTATTAGTATTTCTCCACGTCATTACGAATATTATTTATTTAAAAAAATAAAAAAATTGGTATTAATATTTATTTCACTTGCGAAATTTGAACATTGAATTCGAGACGGAAAATGTTTAATATAACAAAAAGCAAAATAAAAAAAAAAAACAAAATGATTAAAAAATTCAAAATAATAAATAAACTATGTAACGTTCACGTCTTTTAGACTAGAGGTTGGAACCAGCCGAAAATTCTTTAACCGGTTAATAACGGTTAAAATATTCGTTAACAGGTTAATTAACCGGTTAAAATTAACTTTGGCCAGTACTACAAATTTGGCCAGAGTTAGACAATAATAATTTGCAATCATAAAAATCTTAATTCTGGCCGGAAAATGAATTTCGGCCGGATTTAAATTCATCTATTTTAAC